CGCGTCCGGGAGGGCCTCCACCAGCTTCCCCCGCGGCGCCAGCGCGAGCGTAGCCCCGACCTCGGCGGCGAGCCCGCGGGGGAACTGAGAAGGAGAAGGCCTTCTCAGCAGGCTCGGAAGTCCCCCAGAAGTTTTCCTAAGCCTTCCCCGAAGACAAAGGAAACTTCTCAGAAGGCGCGAGGGCTTCTGAGAAGTCCCGCCGCCTTCTGAGAGGGCCTTCTCCTTCTCACTTCCCCTCCTCGCTCGCCGCCGACGACCGCCAGCGAGGAGAACGTGTCGCCCAATGACGGGTCCCAAGTGTGCGCCGAGACCAGCAGCACCACGGCGCCAGCGGTGACGCCGTGCACCGGAGGCTTCGCCACCAGGTACGCCCGCAGCGCCGCGTGGGAGCACGCCACGGCCTTGTCAGGATCCACCAAGGGGTGACCCTGAGGGGGGCAAAAGTTCGATCTATCGGTGCACCGAACTGCCGCGAACAGATGCCCAACCCATCGGCAACTATCGGGAACTGCCTGCGGCTGGGGGGCATCTGTTATGGTAGAGGCCTTCTAGATGGGGTCGGAGCAGATGGGGTCGGGGGCTCGCGCCATATCGCCGGTACATCGACGATGCATCGGCGATGCATCAGCGATGCATCCACGATGCGCCGGCGATGCATCGTCGACGACGGCGATGCATCGGCGACGTCGACGTGAAGAAAAAAACGGGCTCCACATCGAGCCGCATCGGCGACGCATCGGCGATGCGGCGTGATCCTCCGACTCCATCTGCTCGGATCCCATCTGGGAGGCCTAGAAGAGCTGCCTGCTGCTGGGGGGCATCTGATTTGGGCGGTTCGGTGCAGAAGCCGATCGAACTCTCTCTCTCGCCCACACGCACACGCACACACACACTCACACACGAGACACCCTCCCTTTGCGGGATCCCGGCCTTGGGCTGCCCAGTGGAGCCGCCGGCTCGGCGGCTCAAGGGCCCAGAGCTCTGACGGTCTTTGCAATCTGGGCGCCTCTCTTGAAGGGGCCCAGGGACACACAAATTCGCCGGCCCAACGGGCCAGGGCGTGCTAAGATCTCCGGTAACTGGTTAACAGTATTAACAGTATTTCTAGTTCGCGCGCGCGGGGCGGCCCCTGGGGGTCCCCCGGCGAAAAGTACCCCGACCAACGCCCGGTCGCCGCCCGGTCGCCGCCCGACCGCCGCCCGACCAAGTCTACTCAGAGATGGTTTTCCTTCTGGGTGCGGCCTCTCAGGCTCCCCAGAGCGCGCTCAGAGTGCCCCAAGAGGCCCCCAAGACTGCCCAAGAGGCCCCCGAGACGCCCAAAGAGCGCTCGAAGACGCCGAAGATGACCCCAAGACGGCCCAAAAGGCCCCCAAGACAGCCCAAGAGGCCTCCAAGACGCCCCAAGAGCCTTCCAAGAGGCCTCCGAAGAGAGCCCCAAGAGGCCAAAATCGTTGATTTTCATTGGTTTTTTCTATGTTTTTTGTGTTCTGGCTTTTTCGGCTTCCGGACGCTCCAAGACGGCCCAAGAGGCCCCCAAGACCGCTCCAAGACGGCCCACGAAGCTCCCAAGACGGCGCCGAAACGACCCAAGAGAGCCCTCAAGACGGCCCAAGTGCCGCCCAAGACGGACCAAGAGGCCCCAAGACGGGCCCAAGAGGGACTCAGGAGGGATACCGAGAACTCAAAAATGGAGCCCTCCGTCCCAGAAGGCGCCCAGGAGGTCCCAAAGAGGCCCCAAGAGGCCTCCAAGAGGCCCCAAGATGTCGCCAAGAGGCCCCAGGAGACTCCCAGGAGGCCCAAAAGAAGCCCCAGAAGGCTTCAAACATGTCTCCCAGGCGCCCCCGAACGGCCTCTCAACAGACCCCAAGAGGCCCCCCAAAGAAGCATCTTGACGACGACTCTATTTCGCCCCATCGAGAGACGACCCCCAGGGAACTGCTTCACCATCAAAACTCCCCACGCAACGCGTCCGAACGACACCCGCCCCCAAGAGCGCAACATGGGCAACGAACACACAGACAAAAACCAGCGATGCCATATCACGGGCCGGCGGAATGAGCGAAGCGATTCAATAAGTAGACACACATCCCAGGATTCCCCATATGTTTACATATCTTCTGGATTGTCGTATCCCCCCACTTCCCATAGTTTCCCATACTTTCTGGGTCTGTGCGCTTTTTCCCCTCCTGATCTCTTTTATTCTGGCCCCTGGAGGCCTGCAATCTGGCCCCAGGACCATCAACAGCGGACCCAGCGCGAAACACTGGCCCCAGGGAAGCGGTCGGGACCTCTGGCCCATCGACAAAAAGATCTCGGCTGATGCCAGGGGATGGGACCAAGAGGGATGGGTCCAAAGAACGAGGGGCCTCAAACTGTGTGAATTCAACCTTGGATCCCTTCTTATCCTTAATCTTAGTCGGAGGCGCGCCGAGGGGGGAAGTGAAAGGGGCAGGCATTCTCAGAAGGCGGCGGGGTTTCCCAGCCCTCCAGCATTCGGAGAAGCCCTCTGCGGTTACGAAGGATGCTTAGAAGGCTGGCCGGAGGCCTCCCTGGCCTTCTGAGAACTCCCACCCACTCTGCCTTCCCCCCTCGGGCTTGCCGCCGACTTACGGCCCCATCCCTCAGACCCTGAGATCCGACGTTGCGAAACAAAATGCAACATCGCGAAACAAAATGCACCATCGCGAGACCTAGACCCTACCCTACGCATCTTTCTGCAACACTTTTCGAGCTGGGTCGATATGTGATGGCCCTGGGGCGCGAATCCTGGCGAAAACGCCAAGTGTTGGGAGGCCTGGAAGCGGGCACCAACACCAACACGGGGGCTTGCCTCCACCGTTGGGAGATAAGCTAGACTCTGGTGCTGGCACGTAGTCATAACTCCGCCCTGGGAAGCCCGAGCATTGCCACCATCACCGAGAGCAGGATCATCTTCCGTCGGTGGAGGCCAACCGCTGCTATTGGTGCTGGACCACCCTCTAGGCCTCCGAGGTGTGACAAAAACTCTTACGCACGTTCAGGTCGGGTATGTCCTCCTACAGGCGGAATTTGGAGGGAACATGAAACATAAACAAAACATGTTCACGAATAGTCAGGAATAGTCAACAAATCGTCCCTGACTATGTTAAAACTGTTTTTGAATATTCCTCCTGTAAAAAGACATGGATGACTTAAACGTACGCCCGGGTCTCAAATGGGAGTCCACCTTTGAGCCGCCGATCTGGTGTAGATCAGGTGGCTGACCGCGTCCGCCCGCGTCGGCGGCCGCCCCGCAGAGCCTGGCAGCGGCTCCGCCGCTTGCAGGTCCTGCGGGGCGGGCTGGGGCGCCGTCTGTAGAAGACGGGCACTTGCGGGGAGCGCTCTGAGGGGAGGGTCGGCGGCGAGCCCACTGCGATCGTCGCCCTGCTTTGCTCTCGGTTAGCGCGGATAGTACATTGGTTAAACTGTGCTCGTATAAGTAGGTTAACTAAGTCAGTTGCATACAGGTTATCCTATGTTGGCTATCTGTTTTCGCCTAACCAGGTTATCCACTTAGCCTACTTCGGCTAACCAGGTTAGCAAATTGCCGCTAACCTACTTAACGTCCGATGGTTTGGGCCCTCTCGGGGCCTCCACGTCGTCCTCATCATCGTCGCCGTCGCCGTCGCCGACGACGACGACGCCGACGACGACGAAGGGGGGAGGTGCCCGTGTGCCGTCCGCGTGCACCAATGTACTATCCGTGCAAGCCGAGAGCAAAGCGGGTGGGTTTGCTCCTCATAGCTTGCACCGCATAGCTCACACCACGTATCCCACACCGCGTAGCTTACTACACCGCATCGCTTTCACCACAAAGCTCACACCGCATAGCTTGCACAACATAGTTTATACCACATAGCTTACACCGCATCGCTTTCACCTCCACAATGCAATAACTCACAGTTCGGGGTCACGCTAGCTAACATTTGAGCAGGATTTCGAGGCGGATCCAGCCGTGGCGACGACGAGCACCCCATGCAGGGACCCGAAAAAAGGCAAACAGCGCCCGAAAACCCTGGGGGCGGGTCGAAACCTTAGAATTCGGATGTGTTTTTTTTCACTTAGGTGAAGGAGGGGGAGGGGGTGCAAGGGGGGGAGGAGATGGGGGGCGAGAGAGGTCGTGCCGCGCCGCCCCGCTCGGCTGCCCGCCCCCGCCCGCCCGCCGTCGACGGCATGACCGTGACGGAGAGAGCGACCGAGAGAGAGCGAGCGGCCTCGGCCGCCCCGAGCTTCGAGGATCAACGATCGAGGAATCGAGGATCGAGGTTCGAAGGATCGAGGACCGAGGTTCGAGGGGGATCGAGGATCGACAGGGTTCTCGAGGGATCGAGGATCGAGCTTCGAACTTCGAGGGTCAGGGTCCAAGGAGGATGGGGGCCCAGCGGGCCCGCGCCTTTGAGGCCCGTCGAGCGGGCCTGGGACCGCGGGAAAACCAAAATTGGGTTCACCGCTTTTGCTGGGAGGGGTGATGTCGGCGCTGGCTTTGGTGTTGGAGCGGTCTGATATGAGTTGCACCTGTGGGGCTGGCCACAGGAACCCATGCTGAACTGCGGTAGATCGTAGATTGCACCACATACATTGCACCGCATATATTGCACGACATATGCCGTACATCACCACATAGATTGCACCGCATATATGCCAAGAGCGCCCCACAGTTCCAATATCACACACGCACATGTGTACACGGATGCTGGGCGACCGATTGGACAACGCAATCCGCCGACCCAAATGATGACGATGCTGGTGTTGAGGATGGCGGACGGCGCTTGCGGGCGAGCTCGCATCGCGACGGCGACGATGATTGCGATGGCATGCGTACATTTGCTTCGCATAGCGGCAGGAAAAATCACTCGCGAAATACAGTTCTCTGCTGTGTCAGAATAAATTAAACTACAAGAAATTCTGCTGCTGGCCACAATGGTTGGACATGATGAGACTTTGCGGTACTTACAACAGCCGTTGCCATCTTCAACGAAAGGCCAAGGCGACACGCAGCTCCACCTGAACCCGTCCACCTCGGCGTGAAACCACACCTCTGCAACCACCTCGCCCGAATCTATTGCCGCGACGTCGTTGGCCATTACCGTCCTGCGGCATGCCACAAGACGCCTCGAGGACCTAACGGCCCTCGCGCCACTGATCGCTGACCTCATTGCCTCGACCACTTTTCGATGGGCATCCTTCAGCCCCCGCAAGGGCCCGCTGTCCAAAGAGGCGCTGATGTCATGCATGCCTTGGCACGTCATGTCCTCGAGGACTCCAGTGTCGAAGCTGGTGGTGTTGTGTCGATTGGTGCACATGGCTTTCAGAACTCTGTGTTTTCTCTCTTGTACAAACGTGTTAAGTAAGAAGCCAAACTTCTGCAGCATCGGCGCTACATGAACACTGTAGTGGTGCTTTGGGATCCAGATCTCGCGCCCGTAAGCGTCAACGTGGGCGCGCAAATGCGAGAGCACAGCGGTCTCCAGCTCTCTCGGGGTAACAGCGTTCACGATTGTCAGCGTTTCCACCAGATCGCGCAAGAGAAGGGCACTGGCGACTTCCCTGGCACAAACCCCAGTCGGGCGAACAACGTTCATCAAGTACAATGCAATGACTGGCGTTGCCGATAGCATCTCTGAGGCAGATCCCCCGAACTTGCCGTCACAACATACGTTCGCACCAGATTCGTAACCGCCTGGCCAACAAAATTTCGTCAAGAATGCCCCGAGCTGCGCGTGCCCTAACGAGTGCGCGTCCAGCCGACCAAGCAGCGCGCGCATCTCGACCACGAAAGTGCCGCTGATGAACAGGATTTGCATCAAATCGAACATTATCAAGTTGGGCATGTCTAGAGAAAGCACGGGGCATAGAAACGCATTTTCGTCCGAGTGGTTGAAGCCAAGGAATGTTTCCAACTAGGGAAGGTCGTTGCCGCCCCCATGCGCCACGGCTTGCAACCTCTCGAGGACTCTCGTGACGGTGTCCTTCGTGTGGATTACATACTTGTCCACTTCTAAACATGCACTCGAGATAAGACGCCCCGTGTGGTCAGGCAGCCACGGGCATTTGTGAGAAACCACATTCTGACACAGCGGGCAAAGTTTGTGGCCCGAGTGCCCCTTGCATAACGTCGACAACTTGTGCGCCACCAAGCCTTGCAATAAGCAAAATACCTCGCCGAACACTAGCTGCGCGCTGCCCAACGACAAGTCGAGTTGAACGCCGTTTTTCAAATTGTATGACGGGGCAAAACACACATGAAGCAACCTTTTGATCAGCTGGCTCATCCCACCGTCGAGGCGATCCACCTGGCTGGTGCGGATAGCTGACAACGTGAACCACCACTCCTCCACGCAAAGGAACTCAGGCGGCAAGTCTGCTAGCGTCCAATAAATCCCGTGGCATTTGCGATAATTTCTGGAGTTCAGCTGTTGGCCTGGCGTGACCTCGTCCGTATACAAGATCATCCTGGCCTTGCCACCCGCCTTTTGCAATGCGCCTGCAATCGTGTCCCTGACGCGCGGGGATTGCTTGCAAGCTACTTCCAGGGCGGCCAGCGGGTGTTGAACAGGAGCCGACATGGCAGCACCGTCGTCATCAACTAAATCAAGCTGCTGGACCAGCGGGCCAAAGATTGTCTTCTGGCTGCAGAGTGCCTTGCGCTGCCTGCGCATCGTCCCCTCACTGACGGCATCTGGGATCCCGAACTCACGTGCATCCACCAGGATCTGTGACAGGGCGGCATTCGATACGTGGCTCTCCCTGCCAAAATCAATAAGCCTGAGTCGCTTAGTCATGATGACGGCTTGAGCGAAAAGCGCTACGGATCGTCGTCGTCGCGGGCCCGACCGCTGACTACTACTACTACTACTACTACTACTACTACGACTACTACTACTACTACTACTACTACTACTACTACTACTACTACTACTACTACTACTACTACTACTACTACTACTACCTACTACTACTACTACTACTACTACTACTACTACTACTACTACTACTACTACTACTACTACTACTACTAGTACTACTACTACTACTACTACTACTACGACTACTACGACTGCTACTACTACTACTACTACTACGACTACTACCCCTAATAGTGCTGCTACTACTACTACTACTACTACTACTACTACTCTTACTACTACTACTACTACTACTACTACCACTACTACTACTAATACTACTACTACTACTACTACTACGACTACTACGACTACTACTACTACTACTACTACTACTACTGCGAGCCCTCGCAAGACCTTTTAGTCGGAGGAGGGGATATATATATATATGTATATATATATATATATATATATATATATTGCACCGCATATGTTGCAACACATAGATACACGAGTTGAGGCCCACGCTGGCGGGAGCTGCCATGCGCCTCCCTGGGCCCAGCGGCACCATCCAGCCTGGGAGTGCCTCATGAGGGAGAGACGCCGCGAGGGCCCCGCGAGGCCCTCGTCGCATGCACATGCCGATGCTCTGGGGCCAACGCCATTCCACGATCGATGTTCCTCTCGGGCAACCGCTGTCCACCAACTGCGCGGCCAACGCTGCAACCTCTGACAGCCAACTGCGCGACCAACGCCGCGAAGGCTGGCGCCTCTGAAAAAAACTGCGCTGGGACTGGAAATGCCGTGCGGATATATGCACTGCGATGTCGCAAGGCTGACGCCGCTGAAATATCACAAGGCTGTCACAAGGCTGACGCCGCTGAAAGGCTGGCACCGCTGAAAGGCTGACGCCGCTGAACGGCGGATACGAAGGGATGCGAACTGCTGCTGTGCTGAGATATCTAGCCGCAGGGCGAGTAAGCCGTCGGCGGCGGCATTGCCTGGAAGGCCTTCGTCACCGTCAAGATGAGAGGCCGCGGGGGCGCAACTGCCTTTGATACAGCAGGGGGGCGGCACCATGTACCTGGGAGGCGGAAACATCGGTGGCCGCGGGCCTGCGGGTGGGGCCCTCGGACTGCCCTGCAACCAACTGAGCTGGCTGCCGCCGTGCATCTGCATGTCAGAGCCGATGCCGCCCGTCTGAATGTCGCCGCCGCCGCAGCCCGCGGCGTGCACGCTGTTCTCGGCCACCTGGCGCGCAAGCAAATGTTCTGGCGTCCTGGGCGCGGCACCCGCCGAGGCGATGTCATATTGGCTGCCGATGCCCTGAATGAAGACGCCCTGGGCGCCATTCGAGACGCGCGGGGTGGCGATGAACGATGGCGCGCGGACAGGCGTGGCAACGCCGTGATGAAAGATGTCCTGCGCGGCGGTGATGCCTGC